AGGCTTTTTCCAGCTGTGTGAGGGAGGTTTTATCCACTTTGTGAGCAGGTGTTCTGTATCAGACACTCACCACAACATCCCCTGTGCTGATCCACCTGCCCAAAAGCTCTCAGCTGACTCATCATCCATCCCCAGGCCAAGCTTGAGGGATTTTCGCTGTTTTCTTACATAAAAGCAACTCCTCTTCCTCACTTTTGCAGCCTGTCCTTCCTAACCATTCCATATCCAGCCATAGAATGGTCTAATTTGGAATTAAGGACCATCTGGTTCCAACCCACCTTCCACCAGACCAGGTTGCTCAGAGCCCAGCTGTGGCAGCCCTCAATTCTGTGACCTATCCCACCACTTCCCTCTGATCCCAAGATTCCAGGTGGTTTGGCCATGGATTTGACCACAGGCAATACAGGGGATTATGAAACAGGTGGATTTGTTCAGCCTGGAAAAACAATGAGAAGGGAGAGCTCGGGAGGCCCAACAGCACCTGCCGTGAAAAAGGGTCAGGGAGAAGGTTGGGCTGGAATTCTTCTCATCTCCAGACTCCTGGTGAACTTCCTTCTGCATCCTGCTCCTTGGAAAAAGGGGCTTGTGGTCCTGGAATGCCGACACACCCATCCCAGTACATCCTACCGGGATGCACTGGTAGAACTGGGGCCCAGCGCTGCCACCTCCTGACAAGAGGAGAGAATGCAAATCCCGCATCCCAACCCGTTTCCCGAGGAAGGAAGGGAGGAATTTTGAGGATTATTTTGGTAATTTTTAATTTTTCACTATTTCCAACATTCGGGTTTTGGAATCATTTGGTTGCAACCAGCTTTGGGATGAGAAACCTCCGTGTGACAATAAAATGAGGAGAAAAATTCTTTAAATTTTTCCTAAAAAAGGAGAAAAATTCTCTATTTTTTTCCTAATTAAGGAGAAAAAAATTCTAAATTTTTCCTAAATAAGGTGGAAAATTACCTAAAAAAATTATCTAAATTGCCTTGAACAACCCATGAGTTGAATTCCAATGTGGCAAAGACCCTGAACACTCCAAAGTGATCACACACAAGGTGCCACCATCCCTCATCTGCTGAGAGCTCTTGTTTTTTCGGTCATTTCTCCTCTAATATTTTGAAATGTGATACCAAATGGGGGCTGGACCCAGCAGGTTTAACAGGTCTGAGCTCAGCAAGGAGCCTTGGGGTGAAACTCGGACTCTGGAGCGAGAAAGGGTCACCACATCCCCGCAATTTGAGCAATGAGAGACACGGCGTGAGCCAGGAGATCTTGGAACCTACGGAAAAACACAGGACTTGGCTCTGGGAGATGCAGGAGTGACAGGAATGTCACAGGAATGTGTGTGAAACACGATCCACCCAGTTGTTAGTGGTGTTAACTGGAGTGGAGAAGGAGAGCAAGGTGCTACTTGCATCTCTCCCCCAGGAGTCTGATGCTCCTCACAGCTCTTCCTCCAGGAATCTGATGCTCCTCACAGCTCTTCCTCCAGGAATTTGATGCTCCTCACACCTCTTCCTCTGCGAGTTCGATGCTGTAAATGTTACATTTCACTCCTGCAACTTTAATTCCTTCTACACGAAGGTACCGGAGTCACGGTGACATCAGAACTGGCCAAGTGTCCCTGTATCCCAGGAACGGTCAGATCTCCAAACCCAAGGAGGCCAAGGTATGTTGTGCAAGGTTTTAAATCTCTTTTCCTCGGGAGATGACAAACGGGAAGGTTAGAACGTGCTCCCACAGCCGTGCAAAGCACTTCCCACCTTTCCAGCCTCCTCCGTTGCACCTGGAGGTGCCATCTTCACCCTTTTGCCCCTTCATGGTCTCTCGAGTGGCCCTCAAAAGCCATGAAGTGGGAAGCAGGGGAAGCAGGAGGACAGAAGGAGGAGAGGGTCGGTGCCGGCAGAAAGGTGGAGCTCTCGGTTCAGTCATTTTTTTGCCTTCCCTCAGCATCACTCCAATTTTAAATTGCAAATTCTCCACCCACGTGCTTTTCCTGACTCCTCCACGTCAAAACTTCCCAGTGAATCACCTTTCTGGAGATTATTCTCCAGCTCCAGTGTTATTTCTTCCTCCAAAACCTGTATTTGCCATGGTTAGAGGGGAGGCATGTCCAGAGGGACAATAAAGGACAGGAATTGACCCCTCTACTCTGCCCTCATGAGATTCCACCAGGATTGTTGCATCCAGGCTGGATTTCTCAGCACAGGAATGATGTGGACATGTTGGAATGAGTCCAGAGGAGGCCATGAAGATGATCAGAAGGCTGCAGAACCTCTGCTCTGGACACAGGTTGGGAGAGATGGGAATGTCCAGCCTGGAGAAGAGAAGGCTCCAGGGAGAACTTCCAGGGTCTAAAGGGGCTCCAGGAGAGCTGGAAAGGGACTTGGGACAAGGAATGGAGGGACAGGACACAGGGAACGGCTTCCCAGTGCCAGAGGGCAGGGTTAGATGGGATATTGGGAAGGAATTCTTGGCTGGGAGGGTGGGGAGGGGCTGGAATGGAATTCCCAGAGAAGCTGTGGCTGCCCCATCCCTGAAAGTGTTCCAGGCCAGGTTGGACAGGGCTTGGATCAACCTGGGATAGTGGGAGGTGCCCATGCCCATGGCAGGGAGGTTGGAACAAGATGAACTTTAAGTTCCCTTCCAACCCAAACCATTCCATGATTCTCTGATGGGAAGGCAGGAATTCTCCCACTTTGGACCCATTTGCTGATGTCTCATACCCTGAGACAATCAACACAACCTCAGGATACCAAGGAGAAGCATCTCTTCCAGAGCCAACTGGAAGAGAAACACTGGAAATAGTTCCCAGAAACAATTCCAGGCATTTGACATCTCTTAATAAGGCTCACCTGGAAATATGGACCTGAAGGAAGGAAGCAGCTCCAGAATCTCTTTGTCAAAACATTAATGAGGCTTCTTCTTGGATTTGGACATGCTGGGACCATTTTCCTGGATTTTCTGAATACCTGGAATGTGGGAGAACCCATCCCAGGCCTGTCCAGAGACAGGCAGGTCCTTGGGGAGTATCAGGAGCAATGTGAGAAGAAATGTTGGGAATTCCAGGGAGGAGGGAGGTGCAGCCTCTCAAGAGCGGGTTTTTTCTGTGATCCCCTGCTGTGCAATGTCCTCCAGTCCCCAAAATATTCCCTGTCATCACTGGTGCCTCCCATCCCCAAAATCCCTTACAAATATGGATTGCAAGGAAGGAGGGCAGTGGAGAAGACCCTTTCCCAGGAAGTGTCCAGGCTGGGTTTATCCAGAGAAGGAAAGGTATTTTTATATCTTTGTTTCAAACAGCCTTTGGTTGTTCCTAAAGAACCCCTGAGCCCATCACTGTTATTCTGTTTGTCTCACATTCCTCAAGGAATATAATCCCTTTCTCCCATGGGATCCAACCAGGCTCTCAAAAAGTATATATACATAAATATATATATATATATAAATATATTTTTATATATATATATATAAAATATATATAAATATATATATAAATGTAATATAGTAATATATCATATATATAATATACATATATAGTAATATATAATATACATATATATAGTAATATATAATATATACAATACACAATATTTAATATATATAATATATAATATATATTATATATATGATTATATATATAATATATAAAAATGTAATATAGTAATATATAATATATATGGTTTATATTATATATAACATATAAATAACATGTAATTATTAAATAATAGAATAAATAATAAATAAAATATAAGTCAATAATAAATAATATCATGTAATATATATAATATAATATATACTATTACTAGATAATATATATTTTGTATAATAATAATGGCCAGTCTTCGCGAGCGAAGATTTGGGAAAGGTCATTAACCCTTACAGCCTGCGCAGTGGATTTTTAGGTGAGACACAGCGTGCGCTGAACTGAGCCCACCCTTTAGTCCTGAGGTTCATCTGCCGGGGCCGAGCAAAGCTTGGACAGTGGCAGTGAGGTCACCAGGATGTAGGTTTGTTTAGAGTGACCTTCTCTTAGGTGGATTGCCTTCCATGGCTGACGAGCTCCACCTGCCCAGGGGGCCGGGAATCGAACCCAGGTCGCAGCGGTGAGAGTCAGACACTCTAACCACTAGACCACCAGAGGCCCCATTTTGTATATAAATATATATTTATGTTATATAAAAATAATAAATATAATATAATATATAATATATATTCTATATATGATATATGATATATATTATATAAATAATATAAATACATTAATATAAATAATGTGATAAATAAATTATTAATGAATAAATGATATATAATGTGTATAAAATATATTATATATACTATATCATATAAAATATATATTATTGAGTGCATGTAAAAATATATACTATATCATATATAGTACATATCATGTATAAAAAGATATAATAATACATAAAATAATATAATAAAACAATAAAATATTCTTTAAAAATTTAAACAAAAATTCCAGTGAGCCATCCTTACAATGCACTGGGAACGGCCCTGGTTTGGGACAGCAGGGGGGTCTCCCGAGCTCCATGTCTGTGTGTCCCTGTGTCCGTCTGTCCACAGGCAGGAGGGGGGTTGGAGCAATCCCTGCAAACCCTGGGAGTGCAGGAAGAGGAGCAGCTGCCCCCCAGCCACCCACCCAGGGGCCATTCTGTGCCCAAAATATCCTCCCTTTCCAACAAGAGCTCAGGCTCCAAGGACAAATCTCAGCCCTGTTCCCGGCAGGGTCACAGAAAAGTCAAGGATATTTATGAGCTATTGAAGGCAAAGACAATCCCCGTTCTTCATCCATCACAGGAAGAGACTCCAAAGGCCTTGAGATGACATGGATGGATTTATCCCTCCTATATTCCAGAGGCTCAGCCTCATGTCTGACCTTTTGACCCAGCCCTGGGCTTTGAATCCCATCCAAGCACTTTCCCTTCACCCAAAACAAGGAATAACCTCTGTAATATCCACAGAATCAGCCAAAGACTTTGTTCCAAGTGTCTCTTTATTAATTCCATATATTTTTTTATTAGAATATAAGAAACAATATGTGACATACACTCCACTTGTACTTACATTAATATATTTAAAGGAATTGATGCTGCTTTATCCTGCTTATTCCGTTACAACAAAGGTAATACACAGTTACAAATCTCACACCTATGGATTAGTAAAACCAACGTCTCAGTGGAACCATCCCAGTGAAACCAGATCATCCAACAAAGCTGAAATAAAAGGTATCAATATTCTGATTTTTTTTTTTCAGCAACACTTTACTGGCTTATTAGATTTCCATTTCAGTTTTGATGAAACAATAAGATTGGGGCTGGGGAAAAAAAAAAAAAGCATTCTCTCGGAAAATATTGGACCTGGGAAGCCTGTTAAGCCTTTTATTTCTCAATTTTCACTATCAGAGCAAAGCTGGATGAATTAAAACCTTTAATCTGTCTCTGATGTTGCTGATGCTCTGCTTTTTGTGCAGTTATTTGGTTAAAGGCAGCTCTTCCTCCTTGATTTCTGAGTTTGGGGCTTCAAAGCTCCTCTCCCGAGTCTGGGAAGAACCAGCAGATGGCAGGACCAACCCAGGGCTTCGCTTCCCTGGGTTCCCAAAACGTCAGATTGGGGGGTTGTGATCCCATTCCAGCTCAGATCCCATTCCAGGGGTGAAAGAACTCCTTCGGGATCAAGGAAGGACTCAGAGCCACTTTCATCCCGAGCATCCCGAGACCCCACTGAGGACCCTAAACCTCCACATATCCAGATGTGCAGCACATCTGCCTTTCCCAGAGGGCACAGACGCCCAGAACTCATTCCTTGGACACACAGACACCAGACAGAGCTACCAGGCTTCCCACAGGGGTGATAGAATCAAAGCCTCTTCTGTGGAAAATAAGGTCCCTGGGAGAGAAATCCCTTCCAAGAACCCCCAACCAGAGTAAATCAACACCGAGAAAGAACACTCTTGGAGTAACGAGGTGGATCCTTGGAGTAATAATTAAACATCATTCCTTCTGTTTGTACAATTCCCCCACCTCAGGTTTGTCTTTTCCAAAAGAAGACATTTTGCCCTTTAAAAAAAACAACAAAAACAACCCACAATTCTTAAAAAAACCTGGAAGAACTCGGTTCATTTTAAAGTCCTTCTTTCTTGGCAAACAGCAAACACCCAGAATTTGGGTGGAAAGGGCTGATGCCACAATAAATTCTGAGTGGTTTTTTTTGGAAAATACACCAAAAAAAAAAAAATTAGAGCCCTTGGTGGTAGATGGTTGTTGAAATACAGCCATTTCCAGCATGGAAGCACTGAACCCATTTTCTCTCATGAACATGCTCCAAAACGGGTAAGTATTTCATTTAAGCTCTTCTTCTTTTCCAGTAAAAACTATTCCAGGATATTTTAGGCTTCTAGGGAGCAAAGCTGCCTCCCCTCGTAACCTCTTGTCCTGTGGGAAGAGGTGAATATCTGAGTTTTCCGCTCAGATTTCTGTCTCTTAATTCCAAAGTCCACATAAACACCTCCAAAGCACTTCAGGGCTGTCCCACCACGGCCCTCAAGTTCCAAATCCGGCACTTGGTTCATCAACCCACAGGTTTTATCACTTTATAAACGCCGGGTTCTTCCTGTTTATTGTCTTATTATTAATGTTTTTAATCACTTCAGCTGCCCATTTTCAGGCCTTTTTCCCCTCCTGGGCTTTACAACAGCTGAGGTTCTCACATGGATTCTCATTCCGGGGATTTTGGGGGCAAAAAAAACCCTCTGTGGCAGGAGCAGAAATTGGGAGGTTTGGAAGAATTGGTGATAAAATGCTCAGGATTAAACTGTGACGAGCTGTCACACCCTCCCTCTCTCAAACATACTTAAATCTGTCAAAGAGATCTTTGCACATGTGTTCAAAACTGAAAATATCTCTTTTTTCCATAAGGATTATAGCACATGAGGAGGGAAGACAAAAAGGGAGTGAAGAGGGAAAACAAATCTCCAAAATATGCAATTTATCCATCATTTATAGCTCAAAACCACGAGTGAATGACCTTCAGCTCTGTCCCCTGGCAATGTCATTAATATAAATTGTTATTTTATGGGATAAGCAGCCTCTGAATGCTCCTCCCACCAGCCTTTGCTCCCCTTCAGAACCAAATCCTTGGCACCGGCAGCCCCTGGAACGCTGAGATAGGAAGGAAATGGCTTTTGGAAGAGACAACCAGGTCTTGTGGCTTCAGGTTTGTCCAGTTTGGCACCTTCAGGAGCCTCCTAAAGGAATGGGTCAGGCTTTAGGACACAGCTGTGCTCATGGCTTGAAGTTTAGCTCTTTCCTAGAGGTGTTTTAAGTCCAAAATCAACCCCCAAACCTGTTATCAGGTGGCCAGAAAAGAGTCACAGCCCCATCATTTCAAGGCAGAGCACCCTGGGTGCCACCTCGGTGTCACAGCCAAGTGCTGAGGAACAAATTAACCCAAGCAAGGAGCTTTGGAACCCTCCTGGGAGGAAGGCCAAGGCACAGGGAAGCTGGGGAACGTTCACCTTATTTTTAGGAAGTTTTTCCCCAGTTTTCCCTGTGCTCCACGTGCATAGCAGAGGTTTGTGGGGCCCCGTGGCCCCAGCAGGTCCCAGAAGGTGAGGGAGGATGATTGACCCAGAGGAAGGCACATCTGAGGACCCACACAAGTGATTCATCCTTCCCAAACTCCTCATTAATTGCAGGTCACATCCTCACCACCGGTCCCTCCTGTCAGGAAGCCTGTCATTAACACGTGTCATTTAATTAAAACACGGGGGGAAGGAGGGGTTAAAAACCATGAAACAACCTTTGCTGCCAATATTTCTACACCATCTTTCAAAAGAAGCTGTTTGTCAACTCATTTAAGGGGGGACAGAGATAAAATTGAACAGTGTGTGGAGCTTTAGGTTGGATTTTGACACAAAACAGGAGAACCACAAGGAAGGCAGGGCCAAGGAGTGCCAACCACCTAATTTTTGCTGCTAGAAAGAAGAAAAAAAAAGCCCAGTGCACCTCTGATCAACCAGTGGAAGTGACAACAAGCTTTCAACTGGAACTTTAAGGCTGAATTTTGGTTTGGTTTTGCGTCTGGCAGGTCCACAGGTGAGCAAAGCAGGCAGGACGGATGACACAGAGATGGCAGGAGGACAAATCTCCCATGGGACAGCTCAGAACTTCCAGGAGCAATGCTGGGAAGATCCTGGGAGCTGAGGGGACAGCAGGAAAGAAGAAGTCACCCCCAGCAGGTCCATGTGCACCATCAGGCATTGAAGGTCGAGCCCAGAGATCTGAATATTGGGATCTTGGCCTGTGACTCCACTGAATTTTGCAGACAGACCCGGTTCTTTTAGGGATCCGCGTTGTTGTCTCCCACCATCACAAGTCCAAAGTTGGGGAAACTGAGGCACCAAGTCTTTGTAAGATGCAGATGAACTTCCAGAGGTCCTGCTCCTGCTGTGTTTGCTCCATTGGGGTTGATTCAGCCCTCAAAACCTGGCATTTTTTCACTAAAATTCACCTGGAAAAAGCGATTCCCAAGAGAGCTGAGGCAAGCAGGCCCAGGAGGGTTAATCAGCAAGGACAGCAACAGGGAGCAGAGATGCACTTGCTGCTCAGAGGTGAAAGGGAACGTTGAAATGAAGCTCTCAAAAGCTGCTCAGGAGGGTGAGAGGCCCAAAGGTTTGGATTTTCCATAAGAGAATTCCTAATCTCTGCCTGGGGCAAGGAAACACAGCACACATCCCACCGTAGGTACCAACAGGAGCATGTTTATTCAGGTCTGGCACTTACAGAGCTGAGAAGGACAAGGTACAGGTCACTCTTTTTCCAGAAAAAGTCAGCCCAGGATTCAGAAGAAACGAAATTATTCTATAAAAAGACAGACTGCAGCTGCAAGGGGGTGGGAGGGGGGGCCAGGAATGTGTCTCCCTTTGGATCATGCATTCCCAAAGCCCGTGGTGCCACCCACGTGCTGGAGCCAGGAGAGAGGCAGGAAAAAGTCTGAGCTCTTCACCTGGTGGTGCTGTGGGGGGTTAATCTTGGCGAGTCCCAGCCTGCTTTTAACCAACCTTAGAAACGAGGGGGGAGGTTATTTATTAGGTAGAAAAGCAGAAAACCCTTCCAAAACGATCCACCTTGGCCAAGGAGGCGCGAGGGCGCAGCGGGGTTTGTCCACGGGAAGAGAGAGAGAGAGAGAGAACAGCTCGGCCGAACCGCCCACGGCTCCGACGCTTGGAAGAGCAGAAAGTCTGGGAAACGACGGCCTCGGAAGCCCGCTGAGAAGTGGAGGATCTCCTTGCAGACAGCGACAGAGAAGATATTGGCTGGTGAGACCCACGGGGGGGCCTCCGGGAGGTGGCTCTGCCTCGGCCAACCCCGTCACTCTCGAGCCCGGAGGACGTAGAAGAAGCTCACGAGGATCCCCAGGGCCAGGAGGGTGGAACTGGCCCGGACGCCGCTGGAGCCGCTGATGTTGCACAGGAAGGAATCGCAGCAGTAGACGGAGGCGGCCGCGATTCCCAGGTTGATCCCGGCGCTGGGGCAGATGGGGGAGCAGCCCTTGGAGATGGACTGGCCGGATTTGCCGCCTGGATTTGGGGTGGGGTGGGAAGGAAGAAAATAAGAGAGGTTTAGAGCGTTTCCAAGGCAGCTTTAGAGTTTTTCTGAAGATAAGTTTAGAGCATTTTCAAGACAAGTTTGGAGCATTTCTAAAGGCAATTTTAGAGCGTTTCTAAGGACAGGTTTAGAGTGTTTTCAAGACAGTTTAGAGTGTTTCCAAGACACAGATTTAGAGTGTTTCTAAAGACAAAGTTAGAATGTTCCCAATACAGGTTTAGAGCGTTTCCAAGACATAGGTTTAAGAGTGTTCCCAAGACAAGTTTAGAGTGTTTGTAAAGACAAGGTTAGAATGTGCCTAAAGACATGTTTAGAGCGTTTCCAAGACAGGTTTAAAGTGTTTCTAAAGACAAGGTTAGAATGTTTCTAAAGACAGGTTTGGAGTATTCCTAAGACAAGACTTAGAATCAGTGTGTGAGGGTAAATTTTGCACTGGAAAAAAACCTTTAAGGTTTCTCTGCTGTAACTAAACACTGGACTTGGTTCAGCACAGATCTCTCCTGTAATTTTTCAGGTGTCCTCAGCAATCCGTGGCCTCACTTCAATTAATAAAATGCCTTAAATAGATTTATACAGGGCTCAAGCGTTCAGTTATGAATTTAACAATCATAAAGCAAGGTTTGGCTCTTCTCTGGTTAAAAAAAGAAATAAAATAAAAAGGCCAGGAATTTTTTCCACAAGACCCCACACAAATGTGCAGTGGCAAAATCAGTGGGAGAAGAGCCTGAACAGGAGCTGAGACTTTTAACTGGGGACAGAAGAGTTTGTGCTCTCATAAACTGTTTCTTTGCTCTGTGCCATCACTTGTGCAGGTAATGGCACCAATTTGTTCCAGTAGAGACTGGGAGGACACAAAACCCTTCTGCTTTCTTTTTGTCCTTTTCCTGATGCTCATTTTCGGCTCAGACTTTATAAACTTTCTAAGTGTTGCTTATGTATGAGATGTGTCATGGACAGAGCCCATTGTTATCGGGGCCTGGTTCATATAAAGCTCTGCTGAGGAATCCCAAAAATCTCGCTCCAGCTTCACCCTGGGACCCCTCAAGCGAGACAAGGAGCACTGGGTGTTCAAGGGGGGCACTTTGGAGCCAAGTGTGCACTTCCAGAGAGGCACAGCCCAAATGAAGGGGCAGAGAAGAGGAAATAATCAGCACTGGGCTGAGATGGGAGTTTATTAAAGCTCCCAGGCGTTCACAACCCACCCATTCCGGCATGGAACATCCCTTCCTCCTGGAAGGCACAGCCAGGATGGGATCTTGGCTCTGCAAAGACCTCCCAGAGCACCCTGCTTCTCTCAGAGCAGCAGCTGGGAAGCTCAGAGCCTCCCAAACCTTTCCTGACACTCAGGGAGGAAAAACACAAACGTCCCTTCCTGCCTCGGCCACGGAAAGCGAAGAAGCCCAGGTGGGGCTCTGGGATGAACAACCCAAACACAAGGGGGGGAAAAAAAAGCAGGAGTAGCAAGCCTGGAGCTTCCCACAGAAGAAGCCTGCAGCATCCTCCACGCTTTCACTTATTCATCAGCACAACCTCCCCACCCCCTCCCTGAATTCCCCTCGGACTCCTCCGGCGTCGGAGCAGCACGTGGGCCTTAACGTGACTCCTCCCGGCAGCGCGTCCCTCCCCAATATTCCCGGGGGATGGTCCGACAGCGGTTGCTAAGCAGAACTTTCCCTTTTTTTTTCCCCAGTCAAAGGAAGGAAAAGCCTTCGTGCAGCTTCAGCAGGTGCCCCAGGAGAGCGGCCAAGAGGGGCAGGAGGCGCTGCCGGCACTCACCGAGTCCCACTCCGACGTACGTCGTCACGCAGTGGTTCTCATTCTCCCCACACTTGACAGGCTTCAGGCAGGCCCAGTTGGAGGAGGCATCAGAGCACGAAAAGCAGATGAGTGTGTGGGCTGCAAGAGAAAAGAGACACCTCAGTTAAGGCTGGTGGGAAGATCTCCTCACTTGGTCGTCACCACCTCCGACACACGGTACGTATCGCATCCCCCCGCAGCTATTTCACCTGTATTGACCTGCAGTTGGGTTTTTTTTCCCCAAAAAAACTGGCCTAGTGAAAGATTCAAGCATAAGGGATATATTTTGAGCTCTTGGAAGGATCAGCTAAAGCCTGGATACAACCACAGCCTGGTAGTTTATAACAACCTCCTGTTTGCACCAAGTTCAAGCCGCAGTTGCCGACTCAAAACTAAACAGCAGAGGCAAGTTTTTGGGATTTGGGCTTTTTCAGCTCAGCCACCACGGACACAGCACCCCTGTCTGTGCAACTGGATGATCTTTAGGGTCCCTTCCAACCCAAACCTTTCCATGATTGTGTGACACACTCATGGGTTCGAGTTTTCCATGCCCTGCCTTTGGGCACAGGGTGGGACTCTCGGGGCTGGGCCTGTGCAGGGCCAGGAGTTGGACTCGATGATCCTTGTGGGTCCCTTCCAGCTGGGCATACTCTGTGATTCTGTGACACCAAGATCAGGCTCCACTTGACCTACATCACCTGGTGGAAATGATTTCTCAGCTGGAGCAAGTCCAGCATTGCAGCAAGACCTGCAAGGACTTGCACCATCCCACTGCTCAGGGAGTCACAGCACTACGAGGGCAGTTTTTGCATCCAAGCTTTTCAATTTGGAGCAGGAGCATTCATTTCCATGCCTTCCTCCAAGGCAGGTCTCCCTTAAATCATGGAATCACTTAGGCTGGAAAAGACCTCTAAGATCACTGAGTCCAACCATTAACCCAGAACTGCAAAGTTCCCCACTAAACCAAGTCTTTAAGCAAAGCATCTACAGGTTTTTTGAATACTTCCAGGGATGGTGATTCCATCCATTCCAATGCTTGACCACCCTTTCAGGGAAGAAATTTTCCCTAATATCCAATTTAAACCTCCCCTGGCACAACATTTATGGTTTACCCTACACCAGCGGGATGGGCTGCACTAGCTGGCTCCCATCCCTCATCCTTCAGGAAAGGGGAAATATTGGAAAACAGCACTCGGGGGTGAGAAATGGTTGTGGAAACAGCCTGGACTCAGCAGAGATGCAGGGACTTTGATCTCCTCTGTATTTTACACACAAGAACATCACACCCACACTGCAGTTGTTGACCTACATCTGCAGGCAGATCAGGGCTCTTCCCAAGGTTTCAGGGGCTCTGATTTTTTGAGCTCTTCCACGAGGCACCTCCTTCCTCCTCTGTATTTACAGGATGCAAAACAGAGCAGGGGCTGATCCAGGATGGGAAGTTCAAGGCAGAATCATTCCTGCTCCCACCACGAACAGATCAGCACAGAATCACAGAGTGATTTGGGTTGGAAGGAACCTGAAAGATCATCTCATTCCAACCCCCAGGGACACCTTCCACTATCCCAGGTTGCTCCAACCTGGCCTTGAACATTTCCAGGAATGGGGCAGCCACAACTTCCCTGTTCCAGGGCCTCATCACCCTCACAGGGAAGAATTTTTTCCTAATATCTCCTCTGAACCTACTCTCTCTCAGTTTAAAGCCATTCCTGCTTGTCCTATCACTAAAAAAGTCCCTCTCCAGCTTTTTTGTAGGCCCTTTCAAATATTATCCCAAAGATGTGAAGCTGGTGAAGCCTCACAGAGGCTCAGCAGTCCCTGTCACAGATATTTTGAAGAATAACTTGGATAAATAATTCTCAGAGCTGTCCCACTCTGCTGCGGAACTGCACAACATGTTGAGGTTCTTCTCGATCCTGTTTCTCTCAGGAAAATAAAAGGGTCAAGGTTCTTCTCAATCTTGTTTCTCTCAGAAAAATAAAAGGTTTGAGGTTCTTCTCTCAGGAAAATAAAAGGTTTCTACAAGAAAATTGAGAAAAAAAAACCCTAACAATTGTTCTCAGGAGAATGACTTTTGAGCAGCCACAGCCAAGGAGGAGAAAAGAAAGCAAAACACAATCTCACAGAAACAGATTAAAGTGGGTGAGTGGGAGGTCCTGAATGTCACATCAGGGCAGCCAAAGGACTCTGCTTTGGAAGGGAAGCCAACACCACAACCCCCTGAGCAGGAATTTCCTGGAGTGTCTCACCCACCCTCCAAGGATCATCACTCTGGCAACATCCCTGCAACAAAGCCGGGTTACCTGAGCGGCAGCCACAGCCACCACACAGGATTCCAGGGCCACCAGCTGAGTCAAAAACCCCAGCAGGGATTCCTCAGTGGGCCCTGGCTCTGGATTTAGGAGAGGGGGAGGAGGATGGAACCAGCTGTTGAGTCATTGAGCCCTCCAAGCGCTCCCATGGCTTGGCCAAAAGTCCCCGTGGGACATCGGAGCGAAGCCCAGTTCTGCTCCTTCGTCCCCTTCAGGTGACCTGTCCCAAACCCTCCACTTTGCAACCACTCTGAGGAGGCAAATTGACTCATCCCATTGCACAGGAACCCTCTGCAAGCAGGGATGAAGTGGATTACAGGCTTCCTGTGGGCATTAGGGCAGGACAGATGTCCCCACATGGATTTGCTCATTATGCTGGAGGCACGAGTGGCTCAATGATACTCATTAAACCTCGAGAAGTTCCAGGAGCAAACACACCAGAAATATTTGTCCATGACACAAAAGTGCCTTTAGGCTTGACATTCTCTGCCATGTGACTAAATCTACAGCATCTCCCACCTGTCCCCATGTTTTTCTTTGTCACACCCACGTATTAAACCTTAACAGAGACTGAATCTTTCCAGGAGAGGCAAGTCCTTCGACATAATTTAAGTGAGGAAACATTCAGTCCCTTGCTGCCCCCAAAATCCACCTAAATAACCCCCTGCAGAGTTCAGAGAGCACAGGCAGGCTGAGTGTTTGAGACAAAAGGCACAAGAAGGGTGGCAGAATTAATTTACTGCAGCTGGAGGAGGAAAGAGTTGGAGCTCAAGGCTACAGGAAAAGAAAAAAAAATTAATAGTCCCAAGCCCGACCAATGCAAAAGGGAAGCCGCGTTTTCAGCAACTTAAGGATTGATGTGTTTATTTGTTTGTTGCTCGGCTACTCCGAGGAACAAAGAGCTCCCAAAACAGAGCAGAGCGTTTGAAGGAATTCCTTCAGATAAGAGGTTGAATCGTTCTTGTGAAAAGCAATGCAAGGTGGGGGGGGGGAAAGCCTGGAAAAGCCGAGTCTGAAGCTCGGCAGCACAAGGGAAAATGCTGCTGCTTTGGTAGCTCTTCCATTCAGTCCCGATGCCAAAAACTCTTCCCTTTTCCATGGCTCTTGGATCATTATATACCATAGGCAAGATCCCTAAATAACATGGACAAGATCTTTGAGCAGGAGGTAAAGCTTTTCTGTAAAACACCCCCTGGATACGCTGGAAGCGTTTGGGGATAAAACTCCCTGCACCAAACCCTTTTGCCTGGCTCAGAACTTTACTTTTAAAGCTGAAAGGTTTTTTGGAAGGGGGAGGGAAGCAAAAACCCTTCCCTGCCTTGGCCTGGACAGCCCATCCTCCCAGTTGGAACTGAGCACACACCAGCTGGGCTCTGCCCGAGACTCAACGCTTGAATTGCCCGATCCCACCGGGAGGGGGGAGTGGGAAGGGCAGCAAACAACTCGTTTCGTCTCACCGGTGTCCTCAGAAGGCAAGAAGGGCCCGTGTTTGCCGAGCGGGGGCTGCGAGAGGCCAGAACTCTCCTGTTCGCTCTTTGTTTGGCATCTCCAAGCAGCGACATATGGAAACAATACGCGGTTTTGCGCGGCCCCCTTGGAGTTGGGATAGTCAGAAATGGAGCCCACAGGAAGGAGGGGATGGCAGGCCCTGACACTTGGGCAACTTGGCAGTTCAACGCCCAGCAACAGGAACCACGTTCTCCCCCGGGTTCTCCCCAGATTCGGTGGCAGCCCCAAGATGCTCCTCACAGGGCACTGTCCCTTGGGGGGGTCATCGCCCCAAGGATGCTCGGAGGGGGCAGAATCACGAGAGGATCTGCCCAGACTTTGCTCCATCAGCCATTGCATCTCCCCTCCACCCTCCTTCCCCTCGGCTGCATCCCAGCCCATCCCAGCGCCGTTATCCCAGCTCGCCGCGCCGAAAAAGGGGGGAGAGGAGCCGGCCCTGGGTCTTTGTTCGAGCCGCAACTGGGAAAAGCTCCAGGATACCCACGCGCGCAGCTGGAGATGCTACAGCTGGAGACGCTCACCTATTCCTAGAGGCAGGGAAGCCCCGAAGTTCCTGCTTCAGGAGGGACACTGATCCGAGGCAGGGCTGGGAAAGACACCCCCCAGCCCGCTCCAAACCCTCCCACGGCTCAGCTCTGCGCCTCCAGCCCCTTTCCAACCCTTACATCCCCCTGCAAACCTCCAACTTCCAGCGCCTACACGCATCATTCCTTCCCCCCCCCACGCCTCCCCCCAGCCCCCCCAATTCGCTCTCAACGCAGAGCTGGCGAGGGACCAGGATACCCCCCTGGAGGAGGTGATGCTGGCGGGCCCACCCTGCTCCTTTTCCCTTTTTTACCTCTCTCCACGCAGAGCACCGCGGCCAGCACGGCGAGCAGCAGCGCCTTCATGTTGCGGGGCTGTGGCCGTGGCGATGCGCAGGGGCGGCTGGCGGAGCGCAGGGCTGGCGGCAGGGCCGGGCACCGGGGGTGGGCAAAGGGCGGCGGCCCCGCCCCGCGGGCCGGGCCCGGCCCCCGCGCCGCCTCCCCCCTCCGCCCCTCCGGCCGCGCCCGCTTTCGGTTTCCCGATCGGGAGAACCGGCGCCGGGGAAAGAGGCGGGAGCGGCCGCCCCGCCGAGGGGAGAGGGGCCGGATCTACCCTAGCCCTGCTCCAAAGGGTTTTTCCACACACTCCCCCCCACCCCCCGCCCCTTTTTTTCGTGTCCCTGCTGCTTCCGTGAAGGAGGAGGCAGGAGCGGGAGTGCTGGCCATGTGCGGGACCCCACTAGTGCGCAGCCCTTTTCAAGTGCAACCCCCTGGTTCACGGCTCCCTGTACCCGCAGGACCTGCCGATTTCGTGCCTCCCTCCCCTCCTCTGTACATCACCATTCACAGACGCCCCGAGCGCACACACACCCCCTCCACACGCTCCCACCCACCCTGGATCCGCATATTCCCCGTGTGCCCAGGTATTCCCTGTGTGCCCACATATTCCCTGTGTGCAGGACTCCCTGCATGGATGTCCTGCATGCAGCATCCTCCCCCCCCCAAATTCATAACCCACCCCTGCAATGCATGACACCCCCTCTTCGTGTAGGACCCCTCTGCATGCACAGCCCCCCATCCAAGAGCCAAGCACGTACAGAACCAACTTCCCCCATCTGTTTACCAGAGCCTAAATTGGATTAGACACACAGGATTTGGGAAGCTTGAAGAGCTGGAATGGCATGGGACAGCCTGGGCTGCTTGGCAGGATGAGGCCTCAGAGTGTAAACAAGTCCACCAGAAAGGTTTGTTGGAGTGGCCCAAATTGAGTAGGTCCCATAGAAATAACTAAATCCTCCAAGAAATGAGCTGCAGGGAGGGCAGTGGGGGAGGGATCCTGGGAAGCTGGCTGTCAGGAAAGCCTGGGAATGGAGGAGCTGGCTGGTGAGCCAGCAGGAAACAAGCAGGCTTGACAAACTCCATGCCACAGATGGGGTTTATTCTGCAGAGTCAGCATTTCCTGGCAAATGCATCTGTCAGAAGAAATTCCAGCTCCTGTCTTGTCAGAGTGCATTCAGAGTACTCTGCTTGGGAAACAAATCCGTGCCTGCAAACTCCTGCTCCCTTTTCTCTCATCTTTATTTCTCATTGCCAGGTATTGTAGCAGGAACTGCCTTCTGAGCAGTGTGTTTCTGTGGTCTAACATCTTCCACTGGAACAGGCTGCTGGGACTGTTTTCTTCTCTGCTTCACAAACCAAATGCTAAAACACTGGGAAGTTGCAGCTTTGTGGTAACTGAGAAACCATAATTCAAACACACTCATCAACCCCCTGTCTCTTTAACAAGGTGAGGTTTTGCCCATGAGAGTCTGTTTGGCTTTTTGTGGCTACACATGAGCAATCTCACAGCACTGACGTGCAGCACCTGAGATTTAATTTCTGGGTATCAGGAAGGTGAAGGTATGTTCCTTCAGCTCTTCTCTTCCTTCAGTGTCTGCTAAACTAATTTAGATGGGATATTAGGAAGAAATTCTTCACTCAGAGGGTGGGGAGGCCCTGGCACAGGTTGCCCAGAGAAGCTGTGGCTGCCCCATCCCTGGAAGTGTCCAAGGCCAGGTTGGACGGGGCTTGGAGCAACTTGGGATAGTGGAAGGTGTCCCTGCCCATGGCAAGGGGTTGGAACTGGATGATCTTGAAGGTTCTTTCCAACCCAAACCCTTCTGTGATTCCATGAGACGCTCCCCTCATCCCCAGGAGAAGCGTCCGAGGACCTGCAGCTTCCTGGTTTTCTCCTACACATTAATTTCACATTATCAGTCCCACTGTTTCCTGGAGGAGGCCTGTCTGTTATTAGGTCTGTTAATAGGAAGGAAGAGGGAGGACCTGAGAGTCACATGAGATTCAACCAACCACAGGATCCGGAGTCATCCCGATACTCTGCAATGGCTGGGCAGGGACAGCATTAATTACAGGGTACTACAAATGAACAGGCGACCTGAGAAACCAGGAACCGATTTCCTGTGGTGGAAGATGCACCAGGAAAGGAAGGAAGCCCTCCTGAAGGCTTGCTTGGACTCCATGACCCTTGTGGGTCCCTTCCAACTCAGGATATTCATTATTCCATGGTCTAAGCTTGTGTCTCCCACCTCCTTACCAAGGCTGTGGCGTGGGACAGGCTGCAAAGCTCAACAGAGATTTCTGCTCTAGACCAACACACAAAACACTGCCCTGGTTGCTCCAGCCTCTTCTTGCAAATTCCTTGGAGTTTTGGGGTTGTTGGAAGGTTGTTTGGGGTTGTTGGAGGCGTCATTGAACCGTTGGCTTCATGTTGAGAATACAAGGCCAAAAAACATCTCTTCACAAGAGGAGGGACACAGTAAAAAAGGCAGCAGGGGTAGAGTCCAACAGCAGGAAAGTGGTGTGTGCTGGGGAAAGGCAGAGCCAGGTACAGGAACATTCTTAAGGGAGAAGAAGATAAGGCAGGGGCTGGATCAAGGAGCAAACTGGTGCTTGGGTAAATATTTCAAGGTTACTGGCATGTGAGGGAAGAAGAGGCATGTGTTAAATCAGGAAATGATGAGTGCCAAGCTCCTTTCATGGCTCAGGAGAGCAGAGATGGTGCAGCAATTCAAACCAGGGCTGCAGGGAGAGGCTTCGGGGTTGAACGGGCACTTGAGGAGTTCAGGCTTGAAAGGTGGGCTCACCACAAGCTCGCTCAGCTTCTGTGGCACCTGCAGAGGTTCCTTCCACACCACGTTTCTATTTCAGGGCTTGTGTGGGACTTTCTGGGCCCAGCCAGGCCCGTGCACGTGGCTCTCACCCGGTGGGATTTGCAAATGAGATGTTCAGTGGAGCAAAACTGCTCAAACAACTCGTGGCTCGATGACACAGGAAGGAGACAAAGGCCTTTCTTTTCAGTCATTGCATCATCCTCTGGAGATGAGGAATGTTCTGATTCCTCTTCTTCTGGAGAGGATGGGAACTGCTCTGTGGAAGAGTCCTGTCCCACCTCCCAAAACCACATCACTGTAAAACACGGATTATTGGTTTGGCAGAGGACTGGGAGGACATTAGGAGAAATAAAATACGGGTTTTTTCAGGAGTGTTGCAAAGTTGTAAGATATCCGAGTTCCAAACTAGACCTGGGCATCAGTGGCTTTTTCAGCTGGATAAGGGAAATATAAAAGTTCCTAAAAATTAAAATCCTTCGGGGCCACGTGGAAATTTTGTACACGGAGGTTTCTTTTCTCTCTTTGGGCTAAGAACAAGGGAAGATCCATCGTTTTTGACAGAGGACCCTTCGTACCCAATCGGAAGGAAGGGAAAGCCCCTTATCAGAGAAAAGAAACCTTTTTAGGCAAAAATGAATATATCAAACTTATCTGAAAACGGGCGGGATTTTATGAAACTATAAAATGCATGAAATTTGAACCCAAAGGGTCTTTTCTCCCCAAAAAACTCAGTATGAGACTAGACCCAGCATGCTGAATAAATCATCATCCCACCCTGGATTTGCCTCCTCCTCAAGTCCCTCGTGGTTGCTCTGGAAAAAAGTTGCCCAGAAGACCTTCAGGAATTTATTTGGAGCATCCAAGGATGCTCCAGACACAGGTTTTTCCCGGGAAAACCAAGTTCCAGCTGCTTCTTTGCTATCACTGACAGGCCACTCTGCTGCATCCCATGGGAATGAAATAAGTCTCCAGGTTTTTGGGGGGCTGGAAGAGGCTTTTCAGTCCTTTCCCCATCCCTTCCACCAAAAATGTGCCTCTTTCCAAGCAAGGAATTCCCTGGGATCCAGCACAAACAGTGCAAGGGATTGTGGAGATTTACAGTAGAAATGTTAAATTTGGTGTCAAAAACATTGGAATGGGAAGGTTCCAAGGCAGGAAAGGACTGAGAAGAAACAACAGGTGGAGGGTTAAATAGGAAAGGCGTGTTTTCATTGTCGTGGAGATTCCAGTGTCTGCCTCCGGGTCAGAAGAAGAGGAGGTACAAACTGACCCTGGATAAACTGATTTTAGATAAGAGCTAAGGGTGGGGGCCATAAAACACCCAGCTCAAGCGAACAAAAGAGCTGGAATATTCAGCCATTTCGCCTCAAAGGGGGAAAACGAAAGGGAAAGGGAGCCAAGACAGAACCCTCTCTTTAAAATCAATAAAAAGCAAGTCCAAAATCGGGGGTTTTTTTGTGCTTTGCTTTTCACCTTTTACCTTCACGTTGCGCTCAACCTCCGAGGCAGGAGGAGAACTGCAGAGCTGTCACCTCCCGGTGTAAAAGTGACCCAGGCAGATGACCCGGTCACACACATCATCGTGACTAAACGAAATCCTCAAGGAGAAGCCTGACAGGACAAAAGCCACTTTTATACAGAGATCTTTGCACGATGACGTTTCTTTGTCCTCCCGGAAGATCTCGCAGCGAGTTTTATTACTCCGATTTCCTGCGGGCTGCCGAGGGGAGTTCCCCGTTCCCAGGAGCGGCGTCTGCACCTTCTTTAATTGCTGATTAACATCTCAGGCTGGAGGCGGCCCTGGAGTTGGAGGCAGGTGCCGGGTGAGCTGTTGGGAGCACTGGGCACAGAGCCAGCTCCTGTTTCCTGGCTCTCCTGGATCAAGGAATATCGAATTCCTGACACCCCCCTGCATGACGACGATGCTTAAGGACTTGCCCAAGCGAGAGATCAGCTGGAAGAGGGGAAAACCATCTGTCATTCCTATGCAGAGCTCTCTCCACACGCTTTTATGCTGACTGAGATCCTGGGAAACCTGGGGGTGTCCTGGAAGTTGAACAAACATCCTTTGGAGTGAAGTTCCTGCGCGATGCGAATGGAGGAGCATCTTGGTAGACAAGTTGTATATTTGGCTTGGAGCCACCTGGTCTGGTGGAAAGTGTCCCTGCCCATGGCAAAGGGGTTGGAATGGGATGATCTTTACGGTTCCCTCCCACCCAAAACGTCCTGTGATAAAGCAAGTCAAGCTTAGACAGCACTAG